CCAGTGTTACATGAGAGCGATACCATCAATCTGACCATAGACATCAACAAGTTCAGCTTGCTACGTATGGTAAATTTCGCTCAGTCTATTAAGTAACCATTTTGTATGTCTTATTCGAAGGATCAAGCTGAAGAGACGGCAATTTTCTCAGCCGAGTTTATACTTGAGTGGAACGATGCTTTTCTAAAATGGGACCCGGTAGAATTCGACGGTCGGAAAAAAATCAAAATCAAGGAACAGCTCGTTTGGCGTCCGGATGTTATAGTATCTACGAGGTGGGACACCGGCAAGTTAATCCACTCAAATTTTTGATTTTTAGCATAGCGAAAGAAACCTTGCTGGATGCGAATCAACTGTATTTGGAGGTTTTCTTCGACGGCACAGTTAGGCAAAGCATCTACGCTGTTTATACGAACTTGTGCGATATGAAAGTGAGTTGTGCTGTGATTTGCGAGCCTGAGTTCCTAAAAAAAACATTCCCTCTCTACTCTGCTTTACCCTGACATATTATGAAATTTACCTGCTGAATACCAGAGGCATTTTAGTCTGTAATTGAGCAAACGAAAACGAAATTTTGAATTCAATAAATTCTCATTTTTCTTTTTTATTTTGAAAAATATAGAAATTTTTTAGGCATGACAAACGTAAATGCACACCTAACCAACGGAATTACTATAGTTTTGCAGTCAACTCAAACTCTCCTTCTTTGACATTTCTGTGGTTTTCCTTATGCTTTTTCCTCCTATAAACTCTGCAGATGTGTCACAGAACTGTCTCTATCTGTAATCTAATCTCTCAGGCAGCATCCCTGAAAGGAGTACAAAAAATATTTCAAATAAATCAGAAAATTCGAATTTGTTCATGTGTATCGTGTACAAATTGACAGGAGGGACCACAAATGATTTCTCAAACTTTTCTCAAATATTTTTTTGCTGAAATTGCCAATAAAAGGTGAAAGTGCAACAGAAACAAAGATTTCAAGAAATATGACATTTTCATCAATGATTATAAGTTTGTTGTAAAGATTTTCGCTTACTGCAGATCTGTGAAATTCAGGTCATAAATTTCCCGTACGACTCACAAGTTTGT